TCCACAATATTTACAAGGATACGATGGATCTTTTCCACATTCTCGCCGTTGATGAAACAATAAATGACGCTTCCACTTGTATCTTCTACCACATGAACAGATATAATTTCTTAAACCTTTTCCACGAGTTTTACGTTGAGTTTCTGAAATAATAAATATGCACAAAAACTATAAATTTATTATCATGAAATATTTTAATCATTATTTATAATCTTTTAATATTTACATTAACTTGAATTATTTCTATCATCCTTACTTCTAAAATTACCAACTTTATTTCGTACAAATATTAGTGTGTCAAAAATTTTGAGAATTATATAAAACTTCAATGTATTTTTTGTTATTAAATTTATAAAAAAAATTTTACTCTGATAAGATTAATGTAGATAATTTTGCATAAGAACGAATGTAATGACGTTGATACATAAATTTTAAAAAGAAGAATTTTTTATATTTATAAATTATGTAAGAGCAAGTGTATATCACAAGGGCTACATCTATGTTTTCTTTTAAGATGCTCCTTTAAGTGATGTTTATGTTTAAATCTTCGTCCACAGAAAGTACAGCCAAATTGTGGCTCAATTCCACATTCTAATCGTCGATGAAACGATAAATGATGCTTCCATTTATATCCTCTACCACAAGTATCACAGATAAAACGTCCTAGATGTTTTCCACGAGCTTGAACTCGAGTTCCTGAAATAGAAAATTGTCACAGAAATAATTAATCATTACTCAATGTTTTTATCCTTATTCACTTTCTGTTTTTTAGTATTCAGTAGTGGAAAGATATTTTTAACTATTATTTTTTTATAACAAGTTACTTTATTTCATGCAACAATAACGTATCAAAAAGTTATAAAAGTTTTATATAACTTTTATTTATTTCTCTCCGATGAATATATAATAAACTTGACTTTAATAAGTATAACAAAAATAATTTGTAGCAAAAATAAATATAATTTTCTTATCTATAGCATCAATTCGAAAGATATCAATTGTTTTTTGTTTGTCAATTTGTTAAATCCAGTTTACATCTTGAAGATTACATTGATGTTTTCTTCGAAGATGTTCCTTCAAATGATGTTTGTGTCTAAACCTTCGTCCACACAGATAGCAGCCGAATTGTGGTTGAATTCCACACTCTAATCGCTGGTGTTGACGTAATGATTCTTTCCATTTATAACTTCGGCCACAATCATCACAGATATGAGGTCGTTCACCTACAAAAAAATTTTATTCGTGTTAGATGAAATATTAATAATTATCATATACCCCTGTAAGATGATTTCGACATGATTTTGTATGACAGATAAATAAACATTGTAAAAAATATACAATATAAAATCATGTAACTAATATATATTTATAAATAATTAATATTAACAAAATATTATAAAGTATGTGCACAAAAAACCTTTAATTTTATTTTTCTAATTGTAATCTCATGTTTGTGATAAATGTCCATTTTATTTAGATGAAAAAATTACGTCGCGTTAAGCATCTCGAATCATGATGGATACTAATTAGATGTTGTCTTAACACACCAAGACGCCGAACTTTCACATTACAAATAGGACATGTAAATCGTGGTTCAGTTCCACATTGTTCTCTTTTATGCCTTGTTAATGAATGTTTCCAAGAATATTTTTTACCACATCTATCACACATATATCTTCCACGATAACGTTTATGATAACCATAGGACTTTGAATATCCTGAAACAAAAAATACAATGGCATGTAATAATTGTATACAAAAAAAATTTTCTGTTTCATTATTGTCTTTTTTTAACTCTATCTACAGATTGATATAGTGCAAATTATTGATATAAAATTAATAAAAATATCTTCTCTCGACTTAAAATTTATTTGTAGATATATACTCTTATTTTTTATGAAAAAATGTATTATTATTAAATTAATTAAATAATTTAAGTTATGTACATCATAATTTTTTACGAATTACTCCAGTAGGATCTATCCAATTGTGCACATTAATTATGTGCTTTTTTAATATCCACTTATGGCGAATTTTCTGTCCACATATTGGACAACTATGTTGAGGCGCTTTTCCACATTCTTCTCTTTCATGACGTATCAATGATTGCATCCATCTATATTCTTTACCACAATTCCGACAGAAGTGTCTACCTAATCTCTTGTAATAGTCCGAGTTATTGGAATTGACACCTGTAAAAATCCAAATATCAATCAATTTAAATACATTTTTAACGAGTCGAACAGAAGTATATTTAATTTACAAAGTAATTATTAAACTAACATTCTCATTTTTTCTCAATTCAATATCCACCTTAAAACCTGTGGTACAATCAAAGTATTTTTAACTTGATTATTACATTAATTTTCGTTCAATGATTCCCTTGTTTATATGAATTATTTATTGGTAAAGGGAGGAAAGTAAATAACGATTTATATCAAACTCGGAATTTATTAAGTGATCGTCGAATTTTCAAAACATAAAACAAACAATTAATCAACTTTATTGAATTTGTAATTAATTGTTCAAAAATATAATGTTTAAACTTTAAAAAAAAAAATTGTTAAATAAGATATTTTTATAAAAATATTTTTTTCTTATGAGTAAACTTCATCGGGTTCGTCTTTTAAATGACCTATCTTTTTATGAACTGTTGCTAGATGATTGAGAAGTATCCACTTAAGCGTGAATGATGAACCACAAACAGTACATTTGTAACCAGGATGATCCTTTTTTCTTATATTTCGACGTTTTTTTAGCTCAATTGGATCGAGTGCAAGTGGATCCGTGATTCTTGGTTTTGGTTTTGACCGACGACGATTTTTGGATTTCTTCTTTTTAGTGGAAAATACTGGCATTTCATGCCATGCCTCGTGATTCCATTTTAAACAGTCTTTACATTGGCACGGTTCCTCCTCCTTGATTGTAATCAGCAAGTCTTTTATGTCTAAAACAATTTAAATATAACATACTTTAATTGATCCTTAAGTGATTTTTTTTTTCAATCAATTCAAAGGGTTTTATGTTAGATTAATAATTTTAAATTTCAAACAAAACATCATACAGTTCTAAATGACAGTATTTTCATACACCAAACTGTTATTTGATAATCAAATCAGTTTTTATTTTACTTCGATTATCATAATTAAAATTTTGGGTCTGAAAGTACTGGATGTCTAAAAAAGTACAATTAATTGACTTGCATTATTTTTAATTAAAAAGAAATTTCACAGAAAACAGAAAAGACAGCAGGCACGTTTTAACAAAGTCAAAATCACCGGTTTTATGATAAAGCCATGAATTTTATAGAAGCTGAATCAGTAGTTTCAAACTTAAGAGATATTTTCTTAATTTATTAATCATTTGTAAAGTAAGTAAACGGTTACTTGAACTAAAATTTTTATTTTTTTTTACATTTTCAATTCTAAATCTAATTTAATCTTATAATACTGTTGTGTTACCTTCGGTATTATTACTTTAAGATTATTTAATTTAAATTCATGTAACTTTACCATTATTTGCTGGGTAACTAAAATCTAAGAGATAACTTTCCCATAACTACGTTTTACCTGAAACAGAAATAAAAATTATTAGAAAGATTACACCATTGTATTGATGAGTTTTTATTTATTGAACTTAAAAATAAGTATATTTATATTTAAATCGCTGATAAATAATAAGAGAAAAATGTAATGAAGAATCTTTATGTATATTTGAAAAATATTTTCTATTGTTTTATACAATTTATTTTATTTATATTATTTATTATAAATAATAAGAAATTGATATTCTTAGTTTTTATTCTAATGACATCCTTACAACTATTCATGAAGTCGTGTAACATTTTAATTACATTTACAAGTTATAAGAAAATAATTATTTCGTTCTGAGGCATTTACATTAATTATTTCAGGTGTAAAAATCTTGGCATAATAATTTATAAAATATTTCTACCTGAGTTTGACACTTGATCTACTTAAATAATGTTCATATATTTTATTTACATGAGTTTTTTTATATTTCTAGCTATCCATGATGAATTAATGTACTATTACAATCAATGATATTATTGTCTGTTTTTCATGTAAAATATCCGTCATATTCCTTCTTTTTTAAATCAAATTTAGATGAAAAAATAATGAAATAAACTCGAATGATTAAAGTACACAACCATGAACTGTCCAAACATGACGTTGAAAATTTGATCGTTGTTTAAAAGCTTTTTGGCAATAGCCACAGATATATTGAGGTAACTTTCCACATTCTTCACGTAAATGGCGATTCAAAGTACTCTTATTAGTGTAAGATCTTGTACACTTATAACAAGGATATGGCTTGACACCAGGAATTCTTAAAGGATCTTTTTGCATTCCACGACCTGAAATCAGAAAGAAAATCACTTTATTATCTAGTTCTAATAATAATTTTCCTAAGTTACAAGCCACAGTAATACGTACGTATCTTAAGAATTTTCATGCGTAATTTAACCTAAACATCTTTCATTGGAGATGGGCAAAAAATAAATAAATAGAATTTTGTAATTTTAATTTATTAATGATTCCATTTACGATTTCTATTGAATTGTAAGTTTGATTATAACATGGCTATTGATCATTTATTGTTATACTATGGGTAATGTGACTGTTTTTGCAAGGGTAACAGATTTTTAGGGGTAGTGGGCTGTTTGTTTATAGTGGATACATCTTCAGGTTGTGCTAAGGTCATCTTCATATAACTTGGTTGAACAGGTGAGCATGGATTGTAGCATTGTGACGTGTGAGATTGGCCTTCTGTTTAAATCCTTTTTCACAGATGCAACAGATGTATTGAGGATCTTTCCCACATTCGTCATGGAGATGTCGTTTGAGACTACCTTTATTCCGATATGCTCTACCACACTTGTAACAGGGAAAAGGTTTCTGCACGTTGAACGTACCACACTGAACATTACCAATTGGATACCGTACCATTCTCGATTGATTTCCTGGAAACACGAGAAATAGCTTCGATTACAGATTGTAGTCATCAAATCTTCAAAAGATGTTTTTTCTTACTGCTACAAAATGTGATCGTGATCTTCAAGTGATGATCTTCAAGTTGATCTTCAGTGACTAGATAAATATATATTTATAATACATAACGAATGCATATCCAACAAAAATAAAATATGTACAGAATGAACGTGAATTGATAAAATGTAAAATTCAATAAAAATATGATTTTTCTGATAATAATGAGTATTTATTGAAGTGTCAAACAGTTGTATTCATATCCCATGAACTCATAAAATTAATAGTAGAAAAAAGTATGTAAACCATTAAGAATTATTGAAGATATTTTTTTCTTAAAACCTTTTTTTTTGTTTTTTTTTATTTTGCTTAAAGATATAAATTCGATGAAAAAGTCTTCATTCTTCTCTCTAGACTATCAATATGTAAAAAAATACTTTTGTCATATCCCCAAAATTAACTTCGATTTTACTCCTCACGGAGAGGGAGTAAAATCCGACGTTTCTTCCTTGCATAGAATGACAAAATTGGACTGTACTCATGTATTTCTACATACATGTTATCCTTTTCTAAAAGGCCGAACGTTTCACTTTACTGACCTCAAAACTGAAAATAAAATCGAAATTTTCGTGATAATATGACAAAAAAAACTATTCGCAGCAAAAGAATAAACATATAGCACTTCTATCCGTAAGATTTCATCCCTCGCTTTTGACTCGGGACAGAATTTTAATCGCGGAAGAAATACTATATTTTACTTCCTTCTCTCTTAAACGAATCAGTGAATAATCACTGATTCACAGTAATTTTTACTAATTCAGTTTAAGAGTTGATACGAAATGTACTATTAAATATCTACTATAATCTAAATCCATGAACATTCAAGTTATGGCGTTGAAAATTGGATTTCTGCTTGAAGCCTTTCTTGCATACGTAGCAAATGTATTGAGGATTTTTTCCACATTCATAACGTAGATGACGACGAAGGGTATCTTTTCGGGTGTAAGATTTTCCACAGGTATGGCATGGGAATGGTCTCCATAAGTACTTCGCTCGCAAATTTTTTGATTTGGTATCGACGTTACCCTCTGAAACCAAACCATAGAACAATATTAATCAAAAATGTACGGGTATTCAAATTTCAATTTTTTTCTATTAAATTATTGTGTTATTTAAAAAAAAAAGAACTTGATAATTACAATTTAAACATATTTTTGATTATAATTTGTGTTAAATTTTTAAAAAATAAGTGTAGGGATAAAAGTAAAAATATTACAATTATTGTTTACTGTCTAGAAAGCATAATGTAATTTTGTACAAAATGCTTTTGAAATTCAATAACATTTATAAATAGACTATTTTTTTCAGACAAAATAAAAAAAATAATTAACTGGCTTGAAGAATAAACTGTAACCATGCTTGAAAATTAATTATAATTGTAATAAAAATTTCTCTAGGCATTTAAAGTTTCTTTATCATCAGTGAAAAAATAAAAATAAGTTTTATAAGATACACATGACAAGGTCAAGACATCAATAAATTACCTGTGGTTAACAAATTCTTCAGATCTCTAATATAAATCTTCACTGTCGATTCAAATATCGTCAAGACCATTTTCAACATATGATACACAAGTGTTAAATTTAATGATTATACAAAACGAATGTTAGCTCTTAAAATCATATTGCGGCACAAAAAAAATAAGACGCTTTTAAGACTAAATATTGGAGTAAATAACAGCTATGGAAAAAATGGAGAAAAATTATTGTAAGCACAAAAGAAGTAATAGCAAAAAATTATCATCGATTATTATTTAATTTTTAATCAAATTCTGTATAATATTGTTAAGAAAACAATAAATCCTTCATTATCATTGGTGAAATATCTTCATAATCATATTGATAAGTTCTTCTTACATCTTCAGTAGTAGAATTTCCACAATTTCCAAATGGATGAATATTTAATTTTTAATGATGCAAATGAGTTTCAATTCCAAATAAATTACATTGAATTTAATAATTTGATTGATTAATCAATAATTCATATAAATTCCTGTATATCACGATACGTTTCATCTTCATATTTATTTGGATTTTCATTTGGATAATGTTGAGAATGCTGATTTCGTAAATGTCGTAGATAGCTACTTCTTTGCTTAAATTTTTTACCGCAGTATGCACAATTATTCTGAGGAAGTTTGCCACATTCTTCACGAAGATGTCTTCCTAGAGAAACTTTCCACATATAAGTTTTGCCACACAAATTACAAATGTATGGCCGTTTTGGATCATGAGGAACATCTTCATTGGGGCTTACCCAAATATTAAGTGGATCGACGTTGGCAACTGAAAAAAAAAAATAATTTATGTTAGTATGAAGAAAAGAAGCAACATTTATCAAAGATAATTATCTTTATATAAAAAATAATATACTTGTATATTAAAAAAATATTAGTTTCAAAAATTGATTACCATCAGAATTTATTCATAACAATTTATTCACACATTATGCACAGAAATACTAATAGATGCAATGAAAAGCCCTTCTTGTTCGAGCTAAATATAAAAAAAATAAATAAATGTAAAAAATTTCTACCGATTCGAAGCGTTCATTCATATTTAAGTCGAGTGTTTTTTTACATTAATATTAATAAAATGCCATTAGTCAATTAATTAATGTGTTAAACAAAATTATAAAACAATGTGATGTATCGAAGACACATGTTTCGTCATATGATGCTTGTGTTTAAATTTATTTCCACAATAATCGCATGTAAACGGTCGAAGTCTTCCACATTCAAGTTGAAGATGTCTTTTAAGAGTGTCTCTTCTCGAGTACGCTTTACCACACATACTGCATGGGAATTTTCTTGGTCGTGCCCAACCTCTTGAGGTACGCTTCAGAGGCTTCTTAAATTCCTTCTGGCCCACAGTATCTTCGTTTATCCCTGAAAAAAAATATTTGTTTTAGTAATTGATCTGATTATTCATATCAATTTCCTCGTCATTGTAAAATGTAAAAAGCTGTAAGAAAATTTATATTCATTAAATCATGCAAAATCAAATGACATATATAATTAAAAGTAAATGTGAAACATCTAAAATGGAATTTTTTATTGATTAGCATACTAAATTATATCAATATTAGCTTCTTTTATTTAAAAACTCCCTTGTAAGTTAATCAGGCAGTTGAGCATGATCACATTCTAAAAAATAATAGTTGAGTCCCATAGTTGAATTTACAATCCTGTGTTAATTTCTTATACATTTCTCTCAGTGCAATTTGATATGAAAAGGGTGGCAAGCTACAGCTGATTCGTAAATGACCTAAATGTGAATGTGGGTCAGAGCCAATACATTCCAATACAATCCAAGACATTCGAAGTCAGCTTAAAGATTATATTATGATACTATTATAAGCAAAATCAGATGATTTCTTTCAACATATCTTTTTTTATTAGAAAATTTTTTATTCTAAAAGTCTCAATTAAGAGTTGATGTTTCACATATTATTATTGACTGAAGAACAATCTTACTTTAGTGTTAAATTCATTATTCACATTTTTTACAGTAACTTTTTGGATGAAAAGATACATATTTTTCTTTAATTTTTGCATTCTTCAGATATCTTGTATGTAGTAATTAAAACTTTTATTCGAGTCATATTTGAGTATTCACTTTAAAAAATTTCACACATAATAATTTGATAAGGCTTGAACTTATTTACCTATTTGTAATTAACATCATATATTCAATGAGTGAATATTCGTAAAATAAAGAACAATGGATCTTGTGTATATATTTAAAGATAAGCAATGTAATCATATTAAGAACTGATTGGAAACTTAAAAAGTAGGAAGAGCCGTTGAAAAATATATTGTGATAGGTATTATTAACGATAACTGTAACGTGGACGATAATTCATTGGAAGAGAACAGTTAGACCGTACATGATGTAACCACGTGCTAGCTTTCTGTGTATGATAACCACAAGAATTACAAATAAACTTTTTCCCACATTCATTTCGTTGATGACAGTTCAGTGTGAAGAGATACTTAAAACGTCTTCCGCAGTGGCAGACCAAACGATCTGAAACAAAAAAACATTTTAATATAAGAATAAATTGAATAAAAACCTACAGTTAATATTAAGATGTTATATCTATAATTTAATTGTTAGATGCACAAACACAAACTGGATGTTGGTGAAGGATAAAAAGTTGCAAAAAATTTTATTGCAACTTGGAAGTTTTCTAATCATTCAAATTCACTTTTTTATTTCTTATATCTCCTTGATAACATAATTCTCACTACAATTATATTCACAATCGTAAATGTTTGGCGAAAAAATAAATGGCTTAATCATAAACTATTATATAATAATTGGTTGCATATGTAATTTTAATTACAATTGTTGTGGTTCATTAATTGATTATGAATCTAATTCATCAATTAATTAATTCACTTTATCTTCATTTTTCAATAAACTGATTTGCATATATATTTATTATGTTATTATGAAGAACAAGTGTATACGCTCGACTTCCAAATTCATTATTTTAAATACAATTTGACAAGTAACTGTTTTTATTTATTACCAAAGTTCCACAGGAATATTTTCTCAAAAAATTCAAGAACACTTACATGCTAATTATTATCTGGATCACCTTAAAGACTAAGTATTTTTCTTTTTTTTTGTCACCATAAAATCAAACGTATACATTATATACATATTTCATAAATATGCGAATAATATTCATAATATATTTTTTTTAATAATATATTTTTCTGTTCTCTGTGTACATATTTGTATATATGTGGCTTTAAAATAAACCTATGTAGGCATCTCGTGTCGAGATCAAGAAGGCTGACACGATGACTCGAGTATTGCATAGCTGACATATTATTTCAAATCATTTTTATTTCTTCATTTTATTTAGATATATTTGCTATTTATTCCATTATTTCTTTATATTTTTCATAGTTATTTTAATTTTTAAATTGGCACAAAATTAACGAATTAACACATTTGCTTGCATTGGTGACATTGTTAACAGCAAACCGAGAAAATATGTTACTTTTGTTATACAGATTATGTTTACAACATTTAATACGTCTCACTTCTTATGTATTTTTTATATTTTTTTAATCAGTCTTGTGCTGCTTATTAATCATTTTATTTTTTTAAGCATATTGTATCTTATTATGCATATTTTTCTTGATTCTCTGCAAGTGAATATGGATAAATTATACGCGTTTGATTGTTTGTCTGATTTTTTATAAACATTTCTATCATTTTCGTTACTCTCTTATTGTTTATTATTTTTCAGTAACTTGGAAGACACGTTCATAGACGTTTTCGTACTACATTGAGTCGACATGGGGAAAGAAAATTGTCAATTATAAGTCAAAATGAAAAGAAAGGAAAGTGTCTGATAAATTCATACTCATTAAAATATTATTAATTGTTGAACATACGAATGATATCGACTCAGTTGTAATACGGGTACTCTTCTATCAAGTAACTCGTTTTTTTTGGCACATAGCAGCATAAAAGACAAGGAAGAGAGCATTAGTGAAATGTAATACTAAAGTATGAATAACTATTTTTGGATAATTTTGGTTTTTTTTAGTGAGACGAGATATATAGTAGACATAGTCACAAGTAAACGAAGATTAAGATTAATTTTTAGGTAAATATGTAGAATTTTTCTTATGTTTTATATATTTATATATATCTAAAGAAGAAGTAGAGATGAAAGATAAAGGTTTTTTGTCTAATTTTTATAGCGTATAAATGTAAATATGAGATAAAGATTCAAAGATTCTTTGGATATACGATTCGAATCTTACAAATGATGAAGATTCGACTAGATTGAAAATTTCTTTGGTCTTCTATATCGAAGAGAAAGTAGTGTTAATATAATTATTATTTTATAGTATTTATTAGTATGAAGAATTAGTGGATGTATTTAATTTTTTACTAATTTTCATATCAATAAAACTCACTATTTTCTGTAAAATAAAAGCTAGAAGTTTCATTCTATTGATGAAATTCTAAAATGCAGATAATATTTTTATAAAAAATTAATAATGAAATAAAGTATTTCATTTATTATCAGTTTGTAATTCAGGCTAGGAAAATGATTAATAAAATCACTATAATAATAATAATAATATATTTAAATAGTACAGATAAATAAAAGTTAGTAAAGAATTAAATTTTTTTATTGCAAAAGTCTCTTCGACTTGATGGTTAATATTATAGGGAAGTTATATTTGGCAAGATATTTGCTTTCATTTTGAAAAATTCTCATGAATATTTTCATCATTTAGAACACTTTAAACCTGTCATGACGACAAAAAAAACTAAAAATTCTAAATTGTATCACTTTTGACTAGTAATTTTCCAGTAACTATTAAAATTGTATTGACAAACTAGCTTTGCTACTTAATAATGAGATTTTCTTATAAGTTAATAAGATCTATATTTTTCGTTGCTTCAGAAAATTTGATTTCACTTAAAACACTTAGCAAGATTATTTGAAATGCGTAAACATTCGTTTTTTAACACTATAAAATGCCGCTAATTTCGGCCTTAATCAGAAATTTTTTCCTGGTCAATTAATCGCCATTTTGATAAATAGTACTTCAAAATGACTGGATTTTATATTTCGCTCCGAAGGACTTTTTTTTTTTTAACTCGAGTGGTCCTTCATAATTTGTATAAAAATAATTGGGCGTTAGCAATAATATAGATATCGAGAAGTTTCCTCATCTTAAATCTTTACAAAAAAATTTTCTCTCATAATAATTCCATTTTGAATTCTATAAATTATTACATGTTGTTATCTCTTGTATGTAATTATGAATACTTTTAATGAAAAAAAAATTTCTTAATATTCTCGTTGATTTTTGGAAACTTTTGATATCGTTTAATATTCAACAATGTAAATTTTCTTAAAACTACAACTTTTTTTCTTGATTTTTGTTTTTGATCGATAATAATGGCT